ATATTTTAAAAAATATAAAACCTATTAAACAATGTGTTTCCTAAAAAAAATAAGGGACAAATGGTTAAAAAAGAGGGGTTGCTATTTATTTTCTAAACTCATGTGTTTGTGTTTTTTTTCCCAGACAATTTTATTAAAAAATAAAAATAAAAAATAAAAACTCTTAAAACTTCAAAATAGATCATTATATAGAGAAATAAAATAAGTTAAAAAGTTGCTTAAAAAAAAAGTTGAAAAACAGATGATCAGAAAAGTACTAGATTGATGTTCTAACCTTAATATCCCTGATGCCCTCAAGAAGCAGAGCATGGTAAAGACTCTTCATAGCAGGTACGAGGTTTGCAACCATTACCTTATCTCCCCAGTGAATCACCTCATTCCCAACCGCTATATAATTGATTCTCGTTCTCGGGTAGAACGGCTTTATATTGGTCGACACCCATCGCCGGGCCGCCTTTGGATCCGTCAGGCCCACGATCTCGCCGTTGCCGACAGTCACCGTCACGGCGATCCCGCTGTCGGCAAAGGCCCGGAGGATGTCGGGGTTAGCATCGAAGATCTTGATCCGGTCGACCGTCGTCTGCGTCTTGAGGAAGTTCACCACTTGCAGCGGCGGCGGGAGGTTGTTCCCGAGGGTGCCGTAGTTGAAGCCGATGCCGTTGGCGGTGGTAGACAGGTAGTGGAGGACCAGGAGGGAGAGGAGGAGGGTGGTGGTGGTGGTGGACATGGTTTGGTTTGGTTTTGTGGTTGGGATTTCAGACAGGTAGTGGAGGACCAGGAGGGAGAGGAGGAGGGTGGTGGTGGTGGTGGTGGACATGGTTTGGTTTGGTTTTGTGGTTGGGATTTTTGAGAGAGAACTATTTTAAAGATGGGAGTTTGAGGATTGTGCAATGTGGTATTTATATATTTATAGTGGGAAAGAGAGTTGGAAACCAATGGCTTTGTTGTGAAGTTTGTGTACTTTATTTTATTTTATTTTATTTAGGATAAATTATTAGTTTGGAAAGTTTCTCATTGGGAATTGAAAATTAAATTATGTTGTTTTTTTAACAGAATTTTGTAACAATAGAGATTAGTTACATCAGAATTATATTAAATTTATAAAAATAAAAAAATTTAACAAAATTTTTCAAAATTCTTACGATATAAAATACTAGTAGGCATTTTTTTCTTACAATAGCACATGATTTTTCTTCTTTTTTTAATACAAATTAACGGGGTTTTAGTTTATCAAGGAAGTTCATTCTATCCTTCGACCTGTTTGCTTATTTGTTCCTGTAAGAACATTTTGTAAACTACAGACATCGTTTACATTGAGTTGTTGTAGTTAAATCGGTTAAATAATTAATTACATCTTAACTAATTAAAATTCCATTTCTCAATTATATGATAACTATTTTCCCTAAATGTAAGGAGATAATTGTGGGAATAAAGTTAAAGGAGATGATTATGCAGATAAAGCGGAACTTGGCCAGAGGGAAATAGATTTTTTTTTTTAATCTATTTAAACTACTTTAACTGCCAAAAAAACAAAAAAAATCTCTGTTTCTCCTAGCTAATTATAACACTTTACGGTTTGCAATACTTTTTTGCATATTTGTTGCAAGGCAAATATCTTAAAACTTGAGCTAACATATCTTAGGAACCACTTTTGCTATCAATACGAAAGGTGCGTACTAATTAATTAGCTTCCATATTGTTGGTGCTAACGATTAGAGAACTATTGTACATATCAGGACAAATACGTAGATATGTACAGAGACAGTACTGATAGATGTGAAACTGTTGAAGAACATATTCCACGTGACCACTAAGATGTTTGGAAAAAAATTATACTTGAAAATATCAGTTGTATCCGACACCAAACCTTAATAAAAAGTCAAGTTCATAATATATCTGAGTTCAAAAATTGGGTCGCCTTCTATTAACTTAATTATAATGTTGATACCACTATAGACTCGACCAACAGAGAGCAATCTGCGTATTTGCTTTGTTTGTCTAAAGAGTAAAAGACAGAAGCTAATCTTTTTAGATGTCATCAGCTTTCCGCTTTTGCCTCTCTGGAAGGCAGAAAAGAAAAAATGCACCGTGTTCTTTCATCAACCCGCGCGCGTTACGCGGTTTTATTATCATTATTGTTCCCTCACCTATATTGTATTTGTAATTGTATTGCGGAGAATTAAAAGAAGGTGGTATTATTTGATATGGTATATTGAGTGAGAAGCTGCCTCACACTTTCTTACCATGTGGCAAGTGTGGGACCCACACTAACGCCGACCAAATCCCAAGTCCCAACCACATGCTAGATATGGCCGTTAATTTGAATGTAATCTTTGCATGTGTGTGATATACACTACTAAGTTATAGTAGCTAAGGAACTAATTTCCTTTTTTCAAATAAAATAAGATTACTAATGTCATATCACCGTAAGTCATTCATCTTATATGAAAAGAATCTTTACATCTATTAATAAAATAAAAGTGACCCACACAATTCTACTCAAAAGATAAGTTTAGTTTAAAAAAAAAAAAAAAAAAAATGACTGACACAATTCTACTCAAAAGATAAATTTAGTTTAAAAAAAAAAAAACAAACAAACCATCATGACCATTGTACCAATCTGTACCAACAATCAAAAAC